AACACCAGGATATACAAAGCTGCTTTGAGTCTCTATCCTAGAGTATAAATGTGTAAACAGAAAAAAGAGATAGCACATATGGCAGGCATCAATGGTGATGATTTTTCCTCTGATTATGTTTCCAGGTTAGTTATCATCAGCCACCAGGAAATATAAGCAAACGTTCACTGGCAGAATTCTAGCTCTAGCATAAAGATCCATTGTTTCTTCATGAGATTCACCTTCCAAGCTGATCAACAAAACACTTTATTCCACAAAATCTCATCTCCTTATATTAACATTTATGCATGGCGATTGTTCCTCTATGCTTTTACTTACTTTTTTTTTTTTTTTTAATGTTTATTTATTATTGAGAGACAGGGACACAGAGTGCGAGCAGGGGAGGGGCAGAGAGAGGGGGACACACATAATCTGAAGAAGGCTCCAGGTTCTGAGCTGTCAGTACAGAGTTCAGCGTGGGGCTTGAACCCACAAACCACGAGATCATGACCTGAGCCAAAGTCGGACACTTAACCAACTGAACCACCCAGCTGCCCCCTTACTTTACTTTTCAGGGTACCTCTTTCCCATATGGTTTTCTAACCCTATACAACGTATTTTTTTGTTTTTGTTTTTGTTTTTTAGCTTATCTTAACTTTCATAAACTCATTTTGAACTTTACTTCAGGTATTTTTCACTGGGATTTGACTCATTAAATGTCTCTACTGCAAATCCCTCAAAAAGAACCAAAGTGTTTGCCTTGGTTTGAAAGAGAGGGCGCTGGTATCATGGAAGACATGGGAGCTTGAGAGGCAGCTGTTAGCCGCAAGACTCCATGTGAAGCTTCTCTGGGCTCTGGTGTCATCATTTGTAAAATAAGAATGTGCACATTAGATTACTTCTGAAGTTCTTTTTCTACTTCCCACGAACATACTTTTTCCTCCTTTTTGTAAGGGAACCACTCATTCAGGTTTTATTGCATGACAACTCTGAAGATCTCACCAGAATCAATACTGAAAACAAGGCATTATATTCATCAACATGGTAGATCTGCAATGAATACATTTTATCAGGATCAGTATGTGGGGAACAACTCACCCCAGTTAGTTATCGTAACACGTTCCACAGAATCCAGGCCAAGAATTATAATTTGGAGCCCAGGTAAGATAGTAATGGCCCACCAAAAATATTTACATCCTAATTCCCAGAATCTGTATGCTACCTTTACCTTACCTGATATAAGAGACTGTGCAGATGTAATTACATTAGGGATCCTGAGATGGGGAGATTATCCTGGACTACCTGGGTCAGCCCGATCCAACCACAAGGGTCCTTATAAGAGAAGCCAGGAGGGTCAGAGTAAGAGAAGGAAATGTGACCACAAAAGCAGAGGTTGGAAAGATACAGAGCAAAGGAATGAGCAAAGGAATGTGGGCAGCCTCCAGAAAACTGCAAAAGGAAAGGAGGCAGACTCGAGAGACTCCAGAAGGAACCACTCTGTCTGCTCATTTTAGATTTATATTCTCCAGAACCATAAGATAATAAACTTATATTGCTTTAAGCCACTAAATTTGTGATAATTTGTTACAGCAGTAACAAGAAACGCATACCCCAGCACTGCCAATAAGTTTTGTCCAGAAAAGTAGTTGTGTATAAAATCCTACAGTATCTGACGAAGTTTGAACTAGGAACCCGTGTTTGTTCATGAGAAAGGCAAAGTATAGTGGGACACTGCCCTAGGGTTCATGGACACAGGATGGCACTCAGGAGCCACTTGGGCAAGAAAGCACAAGATTGAGAAGGAAGGGAGCAAGGAACAGAGCTTCCCAGGGGGGTCAATTCAGTTGCTGGTGTGTAGACAGGTGTCGGCAATGCTATTTACTGCTTCTACTGGAATTAGGGGACCAGAAATCTGGGAGAGACATTTTATTTCATTTATATTTAGTTATTTCCTTTTCAGCTTTTCCTCAGCCTTCCTGTTAATCTTTGGTTGTTTTTAAAAATATAAGCCCAGTTCAACTACACTACGCTTATGCAGGTTACAGGGCTTCTAGATATAAAGGAAAATAACTACATATCTAACCTGGTAAAGTTTTAGCCTGCTAGTGAAGAATGAACTGGAAAGAAGAAAAAGTTAAACGTCAGCATAAGGACAATTGCAAACATTTTGACAAAAAGTAATTATCCACCAAGTGTGCAATCTGTAACTGGGGATAATAATAAACCTTCAAAGACTGTTGTACAATAAAATGGGATAGCATACACAAGTACACAGTAACAGAAAACCCAGAATTCATACTGTGTGCTTGTGTGTGACACTTTCAGGCTGCCGACCCAACAGTCTCCTCTGTGTAAGGTGGCCCTTCAATGGAAATATTTAAACAACTCCTATGGGGCACCTGTGTGGCTCAGTTGGTTAAGCGTCCAACTCTTGGTTTCGGCTCCCGTCATGATCTCACAGTTTCCTGAGTTAGAGCCCTGCTCCCCAATGACAGTGCAGATCCTGCTTGGGATTCCCCCCACCCCTCCCCCACTCATGCTGTCTCTGTCTCTCTCAAAATAAACTTAAAAAACAAAAAACAAAAAAAAATAAACAACTCCTTTGTCTGCAATATGGCCTGTCACAAGGTCTAGCCCTTAAAGGACTGTTTCAATTTTTTTTATAATTTTTTTTTAATGCTTATTTTATTTTTGACAAAGAGAGACAGAGCATGAGCAGGGGAGGGGCAGAGACAGAGGGAGACACAGAAACCAAAGCAGGCTCCAGGCTCTGAGCTGTCAGCACAGAGCCTGATGCAGACTCAAACTCCCTAACAGGAGATCATGACCTGAGCCGAAGTTGGGTGTTTAACCGACTGGGCCACCCAGGCACCCCAGAAGTGTCCACCTTATTGTAATTATTAGCAAATTGCAATATGTATAACTTTGAATGAACTCAGGTCTCCTTTTTCTACTCAAGGGCTTTCCAATGTCTCATCCATTCTTTCTACAAGAACAATTCATGGCTTACATAGAAACAGCTACGAAAGGACCTTCTCTTCATCCAACCTCTAATTTCCATAATGGCAAGAAAAGGAAAGGAAGTCCTTTCCTTTTCATCTTATTCTCACTATGAAAATTTTCTACAGAAAGAGAGAAAGAGAGAGAGCTTGTGAGACAGCACAAGCTCAGGCCTGCAAAAATAGATTATTGCCAAGGAAAATCCTAATAGGGCTAAGGTGGGGCCAGGCATTAGGTGATTCTATTGCAGGGAACTCACTCTGGCAAACACTGCACAAAAAGGAGTGGACCTAAAAAAGGATTAAGGGGTCCCATTGTTAAGAAAAAATCAAATTGACCTGATGAATGTAGAGGGAGTGGAGTCTCTAGAAAGATCCCACAATGTCAGTACCAGTCTGGATTAGCTTCTATGAATTTGAAATCAATAGATGGCTTTAGTTGCAATAATTGTTTTTCTTTCTTTCTTTCTTCCTTTCATTTATTTATTTATTTATTTATTTATTTATTTATTTATTTATTTATTTTTGAGAGACAGCACAAGCAGGGGAGGGGCAGAGAGAGAGAGAGAGACACAGAGAGAGAGAGATAGGAAACACAGAATCTGAAGCAAGCTCCAGGCCCTGAGCTGTGAGCCCAACGCTGGGCTCAAACCCATGGACCAGGAGATAGTGACCTGAGCCGAAGTTGGACACCACCCAGATGCCCTGCAGTTGGTTTTTTTGTGTGTGTGTTTTTGTTTTTATTGAAACAGAAGTGTTATACAAGCATGTGTGTTATAAACGTGTGACAAAAATTTGCTATTTGTAACATATAAAGTGATATATTCTAAAACTTATTCAGAATAGAGAATATGAAAAGTTTAAGGTCTTTGCTGAAATACAGTCTTCTCAGACCCCTTGATCCTTGATTTATGGCCAGAAGGCCCATTAAAGGTAACTTGGAAAATATTTAATAATCAAGAAACTACACACAAACAGGTAAGGACATTCAGCTTTGACTTTACCATTCAGCTAAAATCTGCTATTCAGCTTCAGCTTCGTCCTCAGCCTTTGGAAGGCAAAGGAACTGAAAATTAATTCAGGGTTATTTCTGGCATCAGTGAACCTGTCCATGATTGATGACCTTTTGATTGAGTATCTTGTGATCATAACTAAATTATGTCACTAATAGTAGGACATCTGAATTCAATGCAAACATCTGCATATTCACTTGAAATATAGATATGCATTCTAGATGTGATCGGGATGAAAAACTCTGTGTTTTACATGTTGAAATTGTAAGAGCCAGGAAAAGATAAGTGTCTATTTAGTACTGCAATGATAAGATAGACTAACATATGGTGATTTGGGAAGCTGTTCATTCTATATCCAAAAATAATAAAAAATGTCCAAATAACTAAATACATGGAAAAAGAAGTTGGAATTTATAAAAATATCAAAAGAAAGTACATTGGCCAGCTGTTTCTAAAGCCTAAATAGTAATATAAGACACAATATAGGGATTATGTAATAATTCTAATTATTTGTATAACTTTTTAATTTATAACTATTAATAACAATAAACAAAATAATGTTTAAGAATTGTGTTTATTTTTAAGTAATTAAATTTAGGCCTGAGACTTTCATGAAAAATACATTTGGGAATTTTCTAGATGCCGTGAGAAAGGATTAAAAGCAGAATTTCAACTTCTGCTTTGAACGAATGTGGATGTTGACATTTACCTATTTGACAAAAACATCTATTCAGTTCATCTCAAATTCAGATAAAGTGTTTACTCCTGGTTTTCACCTTTGAGCGTTCTTCCAAACTCCCATTTGAAAAAGTAAGTATGGGGTTGGCTTCTTCCAGTTTTATCCTGGGAGATGCTTATAGGTCATGTTGTCAAGGAAGCCCTCTGAAGCACTGATCTACCTTTCTTCCCCCTTTCTGATTTATACTCAGATGAAAGGCATCCTGGTGTCTCTGGGTGCATTCTGTGACCCTCTTGCTAGCATACCTTTCCTAAACAAGCCTGCTCTTACCCAAACCTCGTTTACAAAGTATCTGTTCGGTGCGAGTGTGAACTTGGTAGGGATAGATCTGGAAAGAACATGAGCTTTGGACCTAGAAGCCATGGGTTTGAAGCCTCTGCACGAAATTTAACTGTGCATTACTTCTGGTTTTTTTGTCTCTTACATGAGGATTAATACTGTTCTCAAGGGAGCTGTGCTGATGACGTTACTAATGTAGATAAAGTTCCAGAAAGTGGCCCTGGCACAAAGTATCTGCTCAATAAACGGTGGCTCTCGTTACCCTGGGCATTTTACCACTGGCTTTGTGGTTCCAGATTTTACACATCCTGTGAAACGGCTGTAACACGTGTCTCATCAAATCCAAAGGTTTGGAATTTTCCAGTTATCTCTCCTCCTAGGCCTTTGTTTTCAACATCCAACATTTCCAGGCCGTTCCCCCATGCATAGCGCAACATGCCTGCCTTGCTCATTTGTCTCTAAACTTCTGGAAAGAGAGATCTAGTCAGAGAAAATGCAAAGGCAGAGAAAAAAAAATCAAAGATTCTACGATTATCGAGTTGTCACCTCCCAGAATACACACAACACATTTTGGAAGCAAGGAAAGAACTTCTGAGTGTGTGAATGAGATTCCAAAACCTGTTTTGAGCTTCGCTCGGGATGACCCCCTCCCAAAACCTATAGCGAGAGCGAGGCGCTTCCGACCACATTTCCAATCACCCTAAAGGAAGAAAGGCTGCGGCGGGGCTGCGTGCGCGCCTGTGAAGACACCCGCCCACGCGCGGCTCCGCCAACGCAAAGACGCAGCTCACTCCCAGCACCGAGGAAGAGGGAGGCTCCATCCGGACTCACTTCCTGCAGGGGAAAGGAAAGACCTCTTGGTGCAGGGCGGCCCGCGGCAGTTCCGCCCCTGGACCGACCGGGAGCAGAGCGCGCCCCGCAGGCACTTACGTGGCGCTGCCCGCTCGGGAGACGCGGCAGGCGAAGGCCGCCCCGTCGGCCCCGGCCTTCCCGCGGGGGTCCCGGTCGGCCCCGGCTAGGGGCGACGGCAGGGACGCCCGCAGAGCCCCCAGCCCTGAGGAGGGGCGACCCCGGGAGGCGCACAGAGCGCGGCAGGAGCAGGGGCGCGCAGGCTGCCGCCGGGTCACCCACCTTTCTCACTCTGCGGGCCGTGTAGAGCCCCATCCCGTCCTGAACCCGGGAGGACTTCAGGGAGAACCTGTCCGGCACGTACATGCCCAGCATTTTCCCGGCCGCGGCCGCCGCCGCCTCGCTCAGCACCAGCGCTCTGCGCCCGGGAGGAGACACATCGAAATTTGGGGTGCTGGGTGGAGGGGAGAGGCCGGCAGGGAAGGAGGAAATGGAGTTTTCCTCCCAGAATCCCCACCTCCCTGCCGATTCCAGGATCCCCCGCGGCTCAGCCCCTCCTAGTCCCGGGTCTGGCTCAGCCCGGAGCCGCCGCGGCCGCTGCTGCCATTGCTGCCGCGGGGGCGCGGGGGGCGCGGGCCGGGGCGCTGCGGTCTCAGAGACGCCGCGCGCTGATTGGCCCGAAGTTGGCGGCTCGCACCCGCGCCGGGCGCGGAGCCGAGAGCGGAGCTGACCTCGGGGCCTCAAACCCAGAGGCCGGCGAAAGGAGAGGACCAGCCTGCTCCCCGCGCCCAGCGCCGTAGCTTCGAGACCCGCCCTTGTCTAGCTCTGGGTTTTGCCGCGCTGAACTAGTTCTAGTTGGGAAATTGTACTGTTTTCAGATGCAAAACGAAATGGGCGTGACACAGCTGGGGGCATCCTCCAAAACAATTTTATGGAGTTCCAGACTCTGAAAGTATGCTTATTGCCCGACTACTGAAAACCATCCCTGAGGAGTAAGAAATTTGGGTCCTTCTCGTATTGTTTTTTTCATGCTTGTTTCAGGGATTTGAACTCGTAGGGGATCAGTAAGTATGGTGATTAACGTACAGGGAACGGGGGTGTACACAGTCTGCAACTAATCCATTTCAAGTTAATTCAAAATTTGTCGCGAACAGTTTAAATATTTAAATCCAGTAGAAACTAGTTATTGTATGGTGCTGTAACCCAGAGAAAGTGCTTACACTTCACAAGATACACCATTTCTGAATCCTCTCTTGCTTGGAAATCACCAGACCTGTGATAGATCTTCAGACATAAACCGAGGAGATGGGAGAAGGGAAAGCCCAAACAGCAGAATCCAGTATCGCAGGGATGACAAAAGTCTTGTTTCACAGTTTTTAATAAAGTTAGGTATTGCAGTGTGCTCAGAAGAAATTTGAAAAGGCGTTTGGTTGTTTTTTGTTTTGTTTTGTTTTTGTTTTTCCCTTTAAGACAAGCTAGGAGTTTCCTATCAATTTCTTTTGATGGTCTTCATAATTTTCTAATCTGAGGTCTTTGGGAATCCATTTGATGTTCCTTGTAAACCGTTAAAAATCATAATAATTTTGATAACATTAAAGACCACACTGTCAGAAAATAAAATTCAACTAAACAAATTTTAAAGATTTTATTGGATTCATTCACCAATCCATGAGTGGGGCAGCATCCAATCTGGCAAATAGAAAAGAGCTCAGAGAAGCTGTACTAAATGAAAAATTCTTACGGGTAAAAGGAAGCAGGAACAAGGAAATTATACCAAACAAAAAAGCAGATTGACTGTTGCAAGGTTACTTTCTTTTAAGTGATGGCAGATGTCTCTGGCAAATCTAGTGCTTGGTCATCAGGCAACTCCTGATAACTGGTTTAAAATTACATTTCTAGAAGAGCCAAAGCTAATTAAGTTGCATCTCAGTTTGGTAACATGGGACTTAGCATAAGTAACTCCATTTTGAGCCTGTTGGCTTGTTGTTACCAATGCACAACCATGGAAATGATTTCTGTTTCTTGGAGACTATAAGAAAAGCCTTGGAACACAAACAGTTCCTAATTTCCTAAGTAGAAGAACTTTATTAAAATCATATAATAACAATATTTGGAGATTGTAAATAATAGAATAAATGATCCTCTTTGAAAAATGTAAGGGTAGGGGCGCCTGGGTGACTCAGTCGGTTAAGCATCCAATTTCTGCTCAGGTCATGATCTCACCGTTCATGAGTTGGAGCCCCACATTGGGCTCTGTGCTGACAGTTCAGAGCCTGGAGCCTGCTTCGGATTCTGTGTCTCCCTCTCACTCTGCCCTTCCCCTGCTCACACTGTCTCTGTCTCTCAAAAATAAATAAATGTTAAAAAAAACAAGAGGGGCGCCTGGGTGGCGCAGACGGTTAAGCGTCCGACTTCAACCAGGTCACGATCTCACGGTCCGTGAGTTCGAGCCCCGCGTCGGGCTCTGGGCTGATGGCTCAGAGCCTGGAGCCTGTTTCCGATTCTGTGTCTCCCTCTCTCTCTGCCCCTCGCCCGTTCATGCTCTGTCTCTCTCTGTCCCAAAAATAAATAAACGTTGAAAAAAAAAAAATTAAAAAAAAAAAAAAAAAACAAGAAAAAAAACTTTAAAGAAAAAGAAAAATGTAAGGGTAGCTTTGTCAGGGGTAAGAACAATGCCTTAATCAGAGAACATTGCCTTAATCATTCTGAGTTTTGATCCCTTTGACCTACTGTTGAAGATACTATCTAACTTTCTGTATGGGGGAAGGAGATGAATCAATAAATAAATACAGTTTACTTGAAGGGAATTTAAAATTAGATGGCCTTGAAACACATAATAGGTATTCAGTAAATATTTCTTGATTAAAAGTCAATTCTAAGGCTAATCCGAGATTTTTCAAACTAGTGAATGAATGGTGAGACTAAATTTCACTTGTGCCCCAAAGAATCTGGACTAAGTCAGTTTTCCTGGGGTTCTTTAAACCAGTGCTATAACCAGGCCAGACCAGGTCCACTGTGCCCAGCTGGACCAGATCACAATCCAGAGGGTGGCCCATGGCATTTTCCCCAGAGCACTCACTCAGTTCTTTGTCAGACCCAGTCTTTCAGCTCTGGCCCTTAAGCCACACTGGCTTTTCAGTCAAAAGCTCTGTCAAGTCTCTTTAGGCACAGAAGTTTCCACAGCTTTTGATCATTAGATAGAAAAAGAAATGTTTTCTGGTCTTGGTCTGACACAACCCTCATTCACTCATGACCCTGGTTTGGCATAGCTCCCTTTTGGTTGCATGCTATGTTTCTGGGGAACAAAGTTGTCAGCTTGAGAATGTTCATCTTTCTGAACGTAGGCATCTCTACTAATTAATAAATAGTAAAAAATAAATGTAAAGATAAGTCTGAAATTAATTAAATAAGCTTTCCAGATCTTTTATGAATCTCTGCCAGAGATTTTGTTGCAACTGGCACAAACAGTAGATTTCAATAATGCAATGATCTTTTTACCTATGTGATAGAGTGCTCAGAAAATCCACTGCCTAGAACATGGAAACCAGTAATAAAAAGCTCTTAATAATAATCTCTATTACAAGACATAAAAAAGGATACATGTTTGCCAAATCAAAATGCATAATACTGACCGGAAATTTGATTTTGAATCCTGTAAGACAGTAGTTGTACAATGAGTCATTTCTTAGAACTTTAAAAGCTAGAAAGTGACCTTTCAGTATCATCTTTGAAAAACGGGAAATTAAAAGTCTGCTTTATATCAAGAGCTTAAGTGCAGTCTTTAAAAAATAAGTAAGAAAATAAAAATATTGACATCAAAGTACTACCATGTACCTGATTTACTTATTCTAGAAAACATTGCACTATTTTGACCCAAGAGAAATGACTCTAAAAAAACATTTCCCTTTACTTTCAAATTTGGTTCTGGAGGAAATTTTCTTCATGGATATGCCTAATGCCTAAAGTCAACCCTAATTATTGAATTCAAACTTGTGTACTGGAGCAGGCCTTGTTTTTTCATTAGAAGGAAAGACTTGAATTATAATTCCATATTAATTATTTTACCACACATACTGTAGAATTCTCTTGATTGCATCAGTTATTAATGAGTATTTCCAACTGTCAAAGTAGAATAAAAGCCTGACAGAAAAAAACAAAACAAAAAAAACCACTGAGGGTTATTTGTCTTTTGTTTTCTGAGAGTCATGATTTTGTAGTGAATGAATATAAAACCAAGTTTCCTGAGCAGAAAAGAATAAAGATTTATTTGTTGTGATTCAAAAAATAATAAAATAAAATCCTGAAAATAAAATCCATAGTGAGGTTGTTGGCTTCTTGCTCTAAAATCATTTCTCTTTAGCATTGATTGCATTGTAGCAATAGCACCATGAAAAGATGACCCTGAAACCGGAAAAAGCCTGTATATTTAATTTTCCTTAATCTCTTGGTTTTAAGTAATGATACCAAAGACTTGTATGCAGTACCAAAATATAGTCATAAAATCCTTTAATTAGAAAAAAACCTAGAGGTGCCAGCCTGGCTCAGTCAGTACAGCATGAGACTCTTGATCTTAGGGTTGAGTTTGAGCCTACATGGGGCGTAGAGATTGCTTGAAAAAACAACAACAACAAAACAGCAACACAAGAAAACCTAGAAGTTGTTGAGACTAGAGTAACGCTGTAAAAAAAAAAAAAGCCAAAGGATAAATCAGTAGTCATCTCACGTCAAAAGTCAATACTATTGATGGAGCAGAGTATGGAAAGGTAACAGAAAGCTGAAGAAAAGTGAGAGGAGGGAACCAAGAAGGATAATAGTTTCCATGCACTGAGCCTAGTGCAGAAACCAGAAACCAGGCTAGGTTCTTCATATCCATTATCTTAAAGCCCTAACAGCCCTACCATAACAGCCTGGCAAAGTAAATTTTATTAGCCCCATTTTACACATAAGGAAACTGAATCCCAGAGAGGTGATTAATCATAGTCAGTTTCAGACATCCATGAACTGGTGGAGGTAATTCAAACCCAGGACTGGCTGATTCCTATGTCTTGATTCTGTATCCTGCTGATTCAGTTGGCTTCACTTTCCAGTTACACTTCCCATGAGGCTTCAGGAGAGGAGGAGCTCTCCATCTCTCTCTCTCTCTCTCTCTCTCTCTCTCTCTCTCTCTCTCTCTCTCTTTCTCTCTCCCTGTCTTTCATCGCCCCTTCCAATGCCCTTCCAACTCCTCCTTTAAAACTGGGCAGAAAATTTGATTGGCCAAAGTCCATAAAATACTCGGTTGTCAGATACTCTAGTTTGGTTCAATCAACTGTGTCTAAGAGAAGATAGTCACATGGTTCTCCAAGGACATCTCTGCAGAGGGACTGTGAGATAAG